AAAGAGACAGGTGACGAAGTGACGTTAGCGGAATCTGAAATCGAAAGTATATATATGTATATAGTAATGTACGTAAAATACGTAAAATGCATTCACCCAGAATAACACGGCGTGTCGTCGCAACCCGCACTGGAACCGCGCGAAAGTATAACCGGACTGGGGCTTTTATGTGACGTTAGCGGAATCTGAAATCGAAAGTATATATATGTATATAGTAATGTACATTATATACGTAAAATGCATTCACCCAGAATAACACGGCGTGTCGTCGCAACCCGCACTGGAACCGCGCGAAAGTATAACCGGACTGACTTTTGGCGGGCTTTTATATTTTTGGCTCTCTCGGATGAGGCGCGTTATTACTTCATCCCAATATGGTATTTCTTCTTCGCGAAGTTTAGCGTGTGAAATTCGTAGCGACCGCGACCGATTGAGGTTGGTGTTGCGATTACGATCGAATTTTCATTCAATATCGCAGACATTATAATAACATTTTTTTTTTTTTTTTTTAATACGATAGAGTTTTATGAGAAGAACATTATTGCGAGATATTCATAATGTTATCGCTCTCTCGCGCTCTCTCGTGCGTCACCACGGATTTTACACGTTACTCCTCGCATGCCTGAAGTAAACAGAGAGACTTTCAGTCAGTGTCTGTGATACATACCGTCCTCGTGAGTTCTGACCATGATAGGATAACTCGGGGGCCCGTCACCTACTCTGGTCCCGGCCAATACCCAGATCCGATACTCGGTCCACTTTTTGAGCTCGTCCAACACGAAACGCGTGTCATTCAGTTTGATATTCCTCGCCTCGGAGTCAGAGCGACCGCTTTCGACGACTTGCAGTCTGTAGTAGGCGATCCTTCCGTTGGAACGTTCAGCGACCGGTGGTTCCCACGTTACCAATATAGAGGTTGGGCTGATCGCTTTGCCGGTTACATTGCGAGGCGGAGCCCCGGGGACTGTATAACACTCAGTTATAGGAAGGAAAGAAACAAAATCGGGGTCTGGGGGAGGGCATAATCGGCAGTTACCAGTCGATCGTACCAGATTCTGGCTTGAGGCTCAAAGAATACGAGAATACAAAAAGCTACCGCGTTGAAATTATACATTGTTTAATTATTGTGTATCTTGATTACTTGTTTCGTCGTCGGATAATTATCAATTGATAAAAACTAACATTAATTTCACATTCCTGGCGATCTCTGTTCAGATCTCGTTGATTTTCTAGATACATTTGTTATTTTAAAATAAATGCAAATGTGACAATTGTGACATTCTTATATGAGGCGAATGATAGATGATCGATCAGCATGCAATGTGGCGAGGAAACGAGTTCTCGTATTCTCCGATTTGACAGCCTCAACGCTGAGAACGCACAATCGACGGTGACTGTCGAGGGATATTAACAAAACGGTACGTGACGATTGGTCAAGGTTCAAAATGGTGTAAAATATTCAAGGTTAAAAAGTCAATCGATCCTTGAACAGTCGAAAAAAGACGTGATTAGAGACAGTTCTCCCGGAGCGGCTCGGTGTTAACTCGGGCACAAAAATATGCAGAGTTAATGAATTATAACGTTAATATAATAATTGTAAGGGAACGAGACAACAAAAAACTGAAGAACGGACGATAAATTAATATATTATCGAGAATGAAAAGAGGTGCCCAAAATGCACACATATATCAATGCAGTGCTTAGTGCAATTTATATGTATGATATGTACGTATATATATATAGATATATATATAAAGTGGCATCCAAAAACGGCTTTCTTATTTGCAACGCATGCAGTCATTCTCACTCTCCCACACTTCATTTGTTTCGATGTTACTCTCTATGTATATATTCTTTTCTTTTTACGCTCTCTTTTTTTCTTTATCTATTAAACGCGTCTTCGAAGATAAGAGATTTTTACTTTTTTTTTTTTCTTTAAAAAAGGCTTTTTCCAAGGTGTTGTGCGTCCAATAGCTTACGCTACTTGCAGGAGCGTCTAGCGCTACAGCACCTCCTACCTGCTGTGCCATCGCGATACGTGATTGCCCGAGGAGTCCGGAGGACTCAGATACGTCCTATCCGATCTGATCATCACAATCTGAGATTCGAGTAGTCGATTATCTCGCGGCAATCCCGTATCGACATGCATCTGGCACTCCTCGCTGCATGAACTCGCTCGATTTCATTTACGTTCGTGCGCGTTCTGCTTACCGTACTGTTTTGTGCGAACCGGATACGGTATCGTCGTGGCACCTTCTCCCCTTTGACTCCTCGCGGCCAGCCATACGTAGTACAGAGTATTCGGATACAGTCCGGTCAGTGTGTAGTTCTCGGTAACCGGTATTCTGCGATGATGCTTCTCCTAATCCGATTAGAAATGCCAGATGTATTAACGCGACACGTAATATCGCGCGCGTAAATTAATCGTCTCTTTCAAAGAATCGCTCGTGACGAATTTTAAAATCTTTTTATTTCTCGAGTTTTCTCTTAATTACCAAATGATTAGAACCAAATTATTATCCTTAATATCATTACCAACTTTAAAATGTGTGGCGCATAAACACGAGATGTAATTAGCTATCATTCGAAAAAGGGGGAAAGTTTTTCGTTACATTATCGTTACAGAAATTTATTGCCTTGCTTACCTTCGCGTAAGTGTCATTCCAGTACAGCTCATAGCTGAGAATATTCTCAGCGCTATGAGCGGGCTTGCTCCATTGGAGCGTTACTTTGGTCTCCCCGATCTCGACCGCCGTTAGCATTTCGGGCTGACTCGGTACCCCTTGTTGTGTTTTGATTTGCACTGGCAGACTGAGAGGTCCAGGACCGACGCTCGTGAGTGCCTGGACTCTTATGGTATAGATGGTATGCGGCGTCAGCTCCGAAATCGTTGTCAGCTGGCTGTTATCCACCATTTGGTATTGCCACGACGCCATCGGTTGATTCGAATCCGTTGTGTAGTACACTTTGTATCCCTATAAAGATGCGCACCGTGTGTTCGTTAGCGAATTTGTTGCGATTCGGAAGAAAAATAATTTTTAAGACAAAGACACCGACCGTCACTTGACCGTTCGGAGTTTCCGGCTCGTCCCACTGTATGACCATTGTGCTGGAGCTCAACGGTCGAACTTGAACCTTTCGCGGCGCTGTACCGGGTTCTAGAAAGAAGATTGGTCGGTTTTTAGCGTTATTAGGAAGATCACAAAGTACAAAATACACACGAAAACAGTGGAACGGTGATGTATACACCACAGTTAGTTGCACGATAAGAAGCCCTCCAAAAAAAGCAGCTCCGAAAAGAAACCCTTCAAAAAAATTGTAAAACTAAGAGCTAGTGCGATGTAAAAATAGAGAATTAGAGAAATAGAGAACGAAATAAAATTCCATTTTGTTGTGTAATAATACTACTAATCGATACATTTTCAAAAAATCACACCGCAATTAACTACAAGGATATGAACGTGTACGTATCGATGTGCATTTTAAAAACAGTAAAAATATGTGTATGTGTTACAGCAAAAATAATTATTATCTGTGTAAAAAGTAACGAAATTGAAATGAAGAATTAAACAGGAACACGAGCAGGCAAAGAAATCGGTATAGATGTATTACTACGGCACTCTTAATATATGTTTTGACTTACTGGCACCTCCATTCGTAGATTCCGCTATCCGAAAAAAAATGTCAAACGATTATTGTACATTCTCGGTACATAAGTGAATAATAAATTCGGAATGAAAATACGAACTGCGAGAACAGTCTACGTTTACAGCCTTCGTATTTTCACGGAGTAAGAAGTGTGCTACTATTTTGTAGGAAAGGTGCAATTTCGCGTGCTGTCTCTCTCGCGTTTCTCGCTTCCTCTTTCGTAAAAAAAAAAAGAAGACGAAGAGACGTATTCGAGACGGAGAAGAATATAGATAGATAGATAGATAGAGAGAGAGAGAGAGAGAGAAAGCGAGAGAAAGTAAAAGAGGCAGTTGAGGCTGGGGATATAGAGGTGAAAAAATACACAATGACACGAGATGTCGAAGCGCGACGAAATGCTGTAGAACGGCCCGCAAAAAACACTAACATGTTTGGTGCAACAAAGAGCAGAGGGGGTGTTTGGTGATAGGTGAAAAAAATTTTCTTGTCACTTACATGGATCAAATCGTGCGTCCACGGCGGACAGCATGGAAAAAAGTACAGAATTTCCCTCAAAAAAATGTGCGTAAAAATTCGCTCCTTTTTCGATAATGTACAAAAATTCTATCTACGTGCAAAAAATTCACGCTTACAGCGGAGTAGTGCCGTTCCTCCGCTTACATTATCGTTCTCCGATCGTTTCTCGCGAATGTGAATACGCGAAGAAAAAAGAACTGTTAGGTCCGAAATGGATTCGCGTTTTAAACCGACGAGTAAACTCACCGCACGTATGTTCATTAAGAGGCGCAGAAATGAAACATATACTGATTCATGAGTGGGTTTACTTTGTTGTGTTGGATATAGATACGATTTTCATGTACGTAAAAGTATCGTAAAGAAAGATTGATTTGAAACATCATTATTTCATACGTTAAGTTTATGTTCATACGATAAATTTGAGATGACGAGAGAAGAATGTCGATAAAATGAGAGATATTTCTATAGAAACGATTTTTTCCATTGTTTTTTTTGTTTGATGTAAAAGCGACAGCGAATTTTAATTAATGGAAAATACGTTATAATAAAATTATAACAAAATATATTCGTAAATATTAGTATATTGCAACATCGAATAAAAGGCTTTGTCTTATAAATTATTGATTTTTTTCGTCTAATATATTCTATGATATTTAAATAACAATCCATGAATCTTGATGAGAGAAAAATAATCGTTTCTAGCCACGGTAAAAATGTAAAAATGGTTAGATTAATGATTAGTATACAAAAGTAAATGCTATAGTACTGACTTGTTTCACCAGTGGTGACTATCACCGGGGCACTTGGGGGACCACGCCCGATGCTGTTCACGGCTATCACGTAGAGCTCATACTCCGTATACGGACTGAGACTCCTAACATGGTAATACATCGTCGTGATACCGGATATCTCGGCAAATGCCTGGTTCACATGCTTCGGTTTATGTTGAATTACGTAGTACTGCAGATCATCCGGTCTTTTGTAGGACCAGCTCAACTTCACCGACGTCGCAGTGATATCCGACGCTTGAACATTCTCCGGCGGGCCGGGAAGAGCTGTGGGGATATTATTACGGTTTTACCTCTGCGACTAAAGCATTGGATACCGATAGTGATGAAAATCTGAATAATAATGATTTTTTTATAAATATCGTATCTAATCTCTCGCGCGCGCGAAACGCTAAATTATTTATTCAAATGTCCGAAAGACACAATAAATAATCTTGTGAAATTGTCGCGATATTTAATAGCTTTCGGAAAAAATGTTACAGATGATAAATTCAACAAATGAAATCCCTTTTCAACTACATATCTCTCCGTAACAAGTTGTTTTGCAGTGATTACTGTTATCGTAATGCTAGGTTTAACAATAAGCGGATCGATTAGTTATCCGATGAAAGCACAATAGTGCGGAATATAACGCGCGATTGATCGGCTTGTAACGCATAATCCGCGATAACGCAACGTGTTGGAGAAAACGATTTAGGAAAGACTTGAAGATATCTATAATTAAAGACATCTATCTAAGATATCTATAATTAAAAGTGAGATACTAAATCTCACAATTAGAACTCGATACGAACATTGAACCTTCACCATCGTAGTCGCGTCAATTATGCCAAGATCGCTGGCGGCTGTGCACGTGTAATTGGCAGACTCCTTGATGTCGGTCAGTTTTAAGACATTTTTGCCGACAGGCAGGTTGTCTTCCGGCGTCAAATCGGTCGCAGGATCCTTTCTCCATTTCACGTAAGGCATCGGTGCGCCCACCCCGACGCAAGTGATATTTAGTGATCCGCCCAACATCACCTCGATCGACGTCGGAGGACGAATCGAAAAGGTCGGTGAAACGCGACGTACTGAGAGAAAAATACATTTGACAGAATAAATATTCTTTCCTTTTGGCGATAATTCGATTCAATTTTTTTAACATTATTCAATTTTACGGTTTTTTAGTTTCAGTTAATTTTTAATATTTAACTCGATATTAGAATTACATTAAAATAATGTGAATTTAAGATTAAATATATACATGATATGCAGAATAAAAAAAAAAAAAGATTTTATTATCTGTCTCTTTCCAAAATTTAATTCGTAAAAACTCCCCTAAATCCTTAATCGTTTATAACTCAAAATTTACCGATGTTTTTACTCATCTTTGTTAAATAAATCAATTTTAAATTGAACAAAATACTTTTACATATAAAATATGCTAGAGAGAAATTTTTCTCTGTATATAATATAACATGTGTGTGTGTTTATATAATATATTATATACATAATTTTTTACAGTGACTTATATATATACGTCACGTTACGATTAAACTGAACGTGTAATGTGTTTGTTTACGAGTGACATTAAATCGAAATGTAAACGCATATAATGGTGTATCTAATTAGAGAATAAATTACGAACGCAAAAACCCGCGAAGCGTAGCAAAATCCTGAACGATTATTTGAAAGCCGTTACGCAGATTTTACAAATCGCAGCTACGATAATTAAACCGAAATGTCGAGATTCGAGATCGCGGCGAAAACGCAAGAAATGAGAAGTCTCGGCGCATAACACGCGCGACGTGAATCTCGCGAGCCCTTTGTGCTGTCCGTTTAGTTTAATTACGTTCTAATTACGTTACATTAATTTTAATTACGAAGAGGAAAATGTCTACGTTTATGACATTGGCAACGAGCTTGCACTGTGTTCGTTATTTGGTCGGCGAAAACGTTGTTATTTTCGCGGTCCCAAATTCTTTTCTGGCTTTCATTAGAATATTCCGCTTTTTTTCGTATATTATAAAAGCCGCTTTTAACAATCTATAATTTGCGACAAAATTTGCAAGATAGAATCCTATTTCTCAATTGCATATGTCGTGTAATACAGAAATTATTTGAAGAAGTATAAAATGTACACATAAATAGCACGATACGCACATACATTAGAATATATTTGGCCTATAAAATTTATTTATTTTTTATAGAATTCTCTCTAGAATTATGTCATAAATCATAGATCATCTAAAGCGCGCTTATAAAGACTTTACGTACAATCTCTTATAAAAATACAATAAAAGCATCATATTATTAAATTAGAAAATATATATACGCTTTGTAATTAACTAATCTATTATATTTGCGTGTGTATATTTTCAAATGACATACCTTTAACATACAACGTGGTCGATTTGGAGTACTCTGTACCTACGGAATTGTTAGCGACACATTCATATTTGCCCTGATCGGCTACATCAGACTCGGTAATCTGTAAAGCACCTGAAACATAAAAGTAGAAAATATTTTATCGGATATTCTCTCATCCAATACTATCAATTATAGTAGCAGCTCTATGCAATCAATATATAGCATAAATCCTGCATATACTTTTCCTTGTTATATCTGGATATTTTACTCATTGCCAGATATTAAATTTTATTACGTCATAACTATCATTATCTTCAAAACCATCGTATTATTCTTAATAATTATTAACATAGTACGGTCAGATTTAATTCGACAGGGCAGGTTTATTATTAAATCATTAGAAACAATGTGAGAGAATGGTGAGACGTGTAAATGGGACGTTTTTTAAAGAACTGCGTTCTGAGCAATCCTCATCTTCTGCAATTATTCAAGGCGAAGTATGGAAATACATATGCGGTGAGCTCGACGGAGTCGCGTTTGAGTGGATGTCTGTATTCTCTGCGGCTCGTCGCGCCTTTTACTTCATTTTTCCACCGCTAATAGAATTCCCACTGTGTTCTGCGGAGACGTTGGGCCCGGGCAGGACAGGGAAAAAACGGCCGCCTCGTGTCACCCTTTTCTCACCCTCTCTTGCTTTTTCCACCCTCACTCGTACATTTCGTTTTCCGGCTACGGGGTTCGTGCGGGGCTTTCTACGATGCATCAACTCCCTTAGAGCGTGATATCGCGATGATGAACTGGCCGTTGCGAGGCGTGTGATTATCTTCGCCGACACTACCGGTTCGGTATAATTCAAGCCCCCCCCCTCCCCTCCACCTCCCGATCTCCATCCACGCCCTACCTATTCGTAAAGTAAACACTAGCGAACACTGGTGGAATCGAGAATAAAAGGGGTGGTTGGCGTAAGACGAGGGATCGCTGTGCTCTAGGATCGATCATTCGTTTTTCAACCTTTCTGACGTTTTATCGACGGTTATAATTAGGGGATGATTGTTAGCGAGATAAGCGACGCCGAACGCAAATAACGCGGAAAAAATAACGTCGCGACGCGGCGTTTTTACGGTAAGGTGTCTATGAAAACACTACGGAGTATATTATGTCTTCGACAGATAGATTGTGTGCATCGCGGTGTGTAGGACGCATCCATACGAAAACGCGACAACACGAATGAGGGGATTGATTTCTCTCGAAACTCGAAATGTATCCGAATATTTTTTCCCCCGCAAGACAAATACCGTGCGCGGATCGACGTGTTGTTTCCCTCGCGAGCGAGCGAACGAAACATGCGCGCGCGCGGTCGCTGATAAAGGGTTTCTCCGTTTGGATATTATGGTTTGGGGTAAAACGCAGCTCACAATTATGGGCGTGACCTGGCACGGCTGTTAATTTCGCGGACCGACGAATTTTCGCCGGCTCCCGATTTCAGAATTCGTTATCCGCTCGAACAGATTCACGTGCCATACGTGGCGAGTTTCAGTGGCCGCATTGCGATCGTGACTCCGATCCGATGGAGGAAAAAGACGATGAAGTGACGATAATTGGAATTTTTGGAATCTCGCTCTTATTATAGAGAATTTGATTCAATGACTTAATTAATATACAACTATTTTTTCAACGACTGACCTCATCTCTCTCGATGATTGATTTTGACAATTTTCTTTCTCTCTTCGCTTTTTTATTAAATTTTTGATTTTTTAAATTTATATTTAATAAAATTTAAAGAATGGCCTCTAAAATCGTGTGTTGCACGAGATTAGATTTAAATCTTACAACATAAAACTAAATGTATAAATGTAATAAGAAAAGATTGGACGCCAGACCTTAGAATTTTTCGAGCTAGTCCTGGAAAGAAAGGGACTCGCCTAGGGTAGAGTTCGGTAAGATAGACGGAAAAGAAGCAGGAGAGAGAGTAAGGGTCGAGGGTAGAAAACACTCCATCACGAGTGAGAAGCGAAGCGAACTGATATCGCGTACGATCGGAATACGTAATCGTGCCTCATCTACAATTTCCCGTAAGTCGACCAGGAAAGAACGGGCCTGATCGTATTATTATCCCGATGGAGTCACGTGCGCATTGTTAGCATACCACCGCGAAAACATTATGGCTGGTGAAAAATATGACCATAATATACTCGTTAAACGCTCGTTCATCCGTCACATTATTAAATAATAAGTAAAAATGTACTAAGGTTTTTGAGATGTAGAGTTGTCATTTTGATTAGCTGTCACTTAGATTTAAAAAAAAATACATTAATACATAATTAAAATTAAAAAAATATATATAATTAAAATTTGCGATTAATTGCAGTATTAATTGATACAGATATCTTCTTCCATTAATTTTCTCCTTAACCTGTTAGTGTTAAATGTTCGACGAAAACAAACGTGTTCTGAATATTCTGAAGTTTTTGCCCGTTAAAATTTACTTTTTAACTCGTCTTCTACCCAAAATAATCTCATTCTGTTAATATCTGATTAAACTTTGATATGTACATTTCGTGGTTTCAAGTTGAAGCTTGAGTTACCTTAAGAAATGAAATCTTTGTTCTTTTAAAAAATTTGATAGGGCATTAATAGTTCCATATTCGTTCATATTTCGGCTATTATCACTGTTTCTGATAATTCATGGCACTGGAGTGAATTATAATAGAAAGTTCTTCCGACAGTGTACCATTATTAAAATTAATATCATTTTCTTTCTCTCTTCGTCTTATAGGTTTTATCTTTAGGATCATTTTGATATTCCATTGCCTAGTCGGAGTCGTAACTTTTCGCTTTATCGCGTACACGATGCAAGATAAAGAACGATACAGAATTTAACTTAGGAGAATGCGCGAATTACCATTGGTTTAACGATAACATTTCTACGTAATAGCCGCTTAAAATATTCATAAGGGTTGCAAAAAGGGACGGTTGCGATGAACAATTAGATCTTGAACGCGTGAAACACGATGCAAGACAACGATAATCGCGCGTCGTGGACAGTTTATAAATTTTTAATCAACGCACGCAAGCACCACTATAAGCACGATCGGCAGCACACATAATGCAACAGAGCCCCAAGACACATAATCGTTAAGAATCGCTGACATAATATCCTGTGTTCGACTCTTTTCATAATTCCAGTTTACCATATCGATCGAAAAATCGAAGTCAGGAATATTTTAAATGAGTAAAAAATATATTATAGATAGTGCGATATCTCTTTATCTCTCTCTTTTCGCTATAAAATTTTTACGTGAAAAATGATTACTCTCCGGAACTATATATTTACGTACATATTAGACTTTTTTGCGCTTTTGAAAGTGGGATAATTTAAGACTTAAAACCATGGTAAATATATCGCTTCAATTTGTAATCATATCTTATCCAAATACGTTTTCTTTTTTTTCAAATTTGCATCGCGTTTTTAAAAATAACAGCTCATATATCTCGTTATAAAGTGGAAATATCGTATATTTCCAGAATTTTCTCGCGCTGTTCTTTTATTTTAAAGATCGATACAGTATACATGCGTAAATATCTAAACTTGGCCCTTTTGCTTTATGATTCATAAGGGACATAAGAGACGACATTTCCATCGGTTCGAGTGCTATTTTTAATATCATACATTCCATATAAAATTACGAAAACTGCTTCTATTTCCATGTTTTATTTGGACGTCCAGTATAATGTCTTGTTTTTGTTAAATAGTTGTTGCTCGTACATTTTGTTTTTATTTCGACGAGGATACGCAACGCGAGATACGTTGAATAAAAATAATAGGTGAATACCACGGTTCTCTCGCGCCGGGTCGATCAATATTACCGGTACATGACAATTAACGACGTTTACGAACTTTGTACTACGTAACAACGAATTTTTGCCCAGGAAAAATGGGCTACAAATTCATCGAGGGATCTGCCATTAATGATTAAAAGGTTAAGATATAAACAAGTGAGCATACAGCATTAAATCGTTTAACAAAACAGCGCATTTATAACTTTCATCTTTTTAATTAAAATCAGACACGCTATATATATATATATATATATATATATATATATATATAAACGGATGATTTTAACTTTTTCGGACATTTATTCATAC